CTTTCCTCTTAACCTCTGGCAGTTCTAAGAACAGGTTAGATCTGGATCTGCCTGTCAACTATCCTGTTGGGGTGCACAGTTCAACCTGCTAGAGGACAGATGTCGATGTCTCCCTGAGAAGCACATGTAGACTGCTGACCTGGCAGAGCCTTGCTCTCCCAGGCCTCAGCTTGGGATTTTCCTCAAAGGGAATACAAACCCCGTAGGATCTGGTCTGTCCCATTCATACTGTTCCCCTTGGGAAAAGTCTATTGTCTGTCCAGCACCTTCCTCAGTAGCTGCGTAAACATCCTGTACTCTCCTCCACCTTCTGCTCAGGTTCTGGAACCAGCCGCTGCTGCACCTCCACTGCAGTCACCACTACCCTGTCACAGCTGCCTAGGAAGTGACTTTTGAGTACCCCCTTTCCTCTGTGAGTACCCCACTCTTCCTGGCAATGCTTTTCTCTCATCTTCTAATCTTCAAGTTCAAGCTAGAGGCTGGAAGGTCCCCCCATTGTCGGGAGCCCAGCTGTCCTCTCCCTAGGTCCCTAGGACTATTGTACCTTCAAATCCCTCACTTTTTGTCCTTTTCCATTCCCTGCCAATCCAAGGAAACAATATGAAGGAAAAGCCTAAGTGGCAAAAAGTGATTTTATCATTCCTACCACGTTCCCCTCAAAAACAAAAACAAACTGAAGGTTTGCTTTCCTATGATTGAGTGCCTCAAACTTCAGAGTGGGTGAAGACAGGCTATTTAGCCTATGGTGTCTGGAATCTTTAGAATTCCATCAGTGTACCTGGGAACATCTGGGTCTTGGGTCTGGTTATTAGCACAAATATGCCCTCTGCTGGTAATACTGGAGCAGACTTCCTTCTTAGAAGTCTTTAATTCTAGCCTGCCTTTAATCCCTTCCCTTCTTTACTAGTCTCTATCCACACTGACTCACCTTTCTCTCCTTATTCCCTCTCCCACCTGCCTTAACCTCCAGGCATTGCTTTCTCATTTTATTCCCAGAGACCGTTTATACAGTTACTTCTTCAGGAAGCTAGGAAATGTTGGAATCAAAGTGCTCAGAGGGCTTGTCCAAGTTCTGTCAGTTCTGCAAGCTGAGGTCGTGCCTGGCACAGGAGAAGGAAAGTGGGAGAACGTGGGTAGGCTGCAGGAAGAAGGAAGCAAGAGGAGTAGTGGAGGTGGCTCAATCAGAGCAGGACAGAACTGCTAGAGAAGAGCAAAAGATCAAGGGGTAAAGGGCACAAGGGTGAACGACAGGAGGGCAAAAATAGAGATAGAGATCAGGGGATGGGCTAGAGGATATCAAGAGGAAATCAGAACTTGGTTCAAAACTAGAAGAGAAGACAGCAAAAGAACGTATGGGGCATACGTTTATTCTTGTGCACAAAGCAAAGTACTGTGACTCACACCCAATATGCAAACGAAATGATCACTTTCCAGATCATATAGCAAACGTGGCTAGTGGTGGTCTGGATGAGAGGAGAATCCATACCCCTCTAGGAGCAGAGATCTGGACTTGAAGCCAAAAAGCAACAAGGGCTAGGTTTTTGAGGGACAGGGTAGGATCGAAGAGGTTTTGGCTTTGGGTGTTTTCCTGCCTTTTGCCAGATTGTCATGACAACCTTCAGAAGGTAATCTGGAGGATAGACTCAAAGGAGGTCCCACAGACACAAACTGTTCTTTCAACATTTAGCACACACCCTTATACCTCCCTCCACCACTGCCCCCTTTCACTCTTAATACATCCTTATACCTCAGTTTTTCCCCAATCTCCCTCTCGTACTCTGCTGGTTTCTTGTTATCCAGCTTTGCTTTCGATCAGTACTGACTCTCTTACCATGCTCCTCACTGTGGCTCAGTCACTTTCACTCATTTCTGCTTGCTTCTGGTTTCTGCTTCACTCTCCACACCCTTCTCCCTCCTTTCTGTCTTGGGCTCATGAGGCAATGAAGCCAATAATTTGTTCATTCTCTGAGGAAATTTTCTCTTTTTTTCACTTCCTGGTTACTGGGTTGCTCCAGTTGCTAACTCCCTGAAATCCTAAGAAATAGAAGAATTTTTAGTTTTAGTCCTGGTCTGGCTGGTATAATTCAGCCCATGAAAACTATCTGACCCCTTCAGTCTTCTCAGACTCCAACAGTTTTGCAAGATGCTGTGCACCTGCTGCAAACTCTGGTCTCTTTCAGAATTATTCTCTAGTGAATCTCTTTGTCCCCTTTAGACTCCACATGGGCATATCTGATCCTGCTATCAGTACAAGGATAGACTCAGATCTGTCTCCAGACTTCCCCTTTAACTCTCGCCTCAGACAGAAGAGCACATTTGTACATACGCACACTCAGTTGCACATACACACATGCCTAGGTGCATGCCAGTCAAGCTTGGGATAACAGAGTGAGGAGCAGGGAGGGGCAAACATGGCTCAGTTCAGTCCCTTTGCAGTTGCCTCAGTTCCCAATGGTAACTTCTACTCTGTGTGCTTAACATTAAAACAGGCCCACAGAGTAAAGCCAAATATGAAGAGACCTGTGGAGGAGTATGGGCAGAGAGGCTTGATTATAAATTGAGAGACAAAGAGAAGCAAAGCTACCAAAGCAGGGATAGTAGATTGGAAAGCAGCAGGGAGTGGGGAGTGAAGAGGAATCTAGGGAATGGGACACGGACTCCAAAACTATCTGTGGCAGGAGGAAATTTAACACTCAGGTGCCCGACAGAAGGGACAGGGATAGGGTAGGAGAAGCAATTTTAGAACTGAATGTTCCACCTCTCCTTGGTCCTGGGACCTGTGCCGTGTTCAATGGTGTCCTGTCCCAGGCCTCCACACATGAGCCTGCAACCCTGTTCTGGTGGCAGAGAATCGGGGCCTGGCTACCTGGAAACCGCAAGAGCTTGGGGCCCCAACTCCCCTAGAAGACTCCGGAGGAGAGGCAGGACTAGGAACAGGGGCTGAGGCCAGCTCTGCCCTCCAGATAGGCTCATCCAGTGTGGTGGCAGCTCGGGGAGCAAGCACAGTGGGAGCCAGGGGCTCTGTAGTGGGCTGAGGTGCCGGAGTAGAAAATCGGCGGATCTCCTGGACTCGGGCAGTCTTGGGAGGCCCTGCGGAGGTGGGGCCAGGAGTTGGAGGAACCTCATCAAAACAAAACATGGCAGTTTTAAGTTGGTAGGGCTGATGTCGCATGAAATCTAGGGCCTTGATGCCTTGCTTTGGGGTTGCTCGAGGCCCCTGGGATTGGGCCTTGTTAGGGAGAGTTCGGGCAGCCTGGGGGAAAAAGGGTGAGAGCAGTGGGTTGTAAGCAATAGGAGGTGGAGCACGGATGTTAGGTGAGTATTTCCAGGAAGGGGGCAGCGAAGGGGTAGGAGAAGGACTTCTTGGCCGGGCTCCAGGGCCAAAGCTAGGACCAGGTGTAGCTTCCACCACATACCTGTCCGCACGGCTCTGCCGCTTGGCAAACAGCTCCCCACCCCTGCCCTGAAGCCTTGGTAGCTCAGGGATTCCAGCAGAAGGGGCTGCCCCATTTACTAACCCATCAAGGAACCCTCGAGATGCCGGCTTAGGTGCCACTGGGGGCGGAGTCTTAGAGGTTATAGGAGGTGGGGTCTTGGGAGCCATTGGAGGTGGGGTTTTAGGTGTCACATGAGACAGGGTCTTGTAACTCCTGCCCCCTGGTGGCTGCATGAAATTACAGGCTTCAGCTCCAAGGCTCAGAGCATCCTCCTCAGGACCGGATTCAGCACCCCCGGCCCGAGGCTTTTCATCCAGGTTCTGCACCAACGACAGCAGTTCGGGGTTGGGCGAGTTCTTCGGCTCTTCGTTTCCCGGCCGAAACATCTGCTTCCGTGTCCCCCTGCGCCGGGCCTCCTGTAGGATGCCGGTGCGGGCAGCTGGCACAGAGATGCGCTGCTCCCGAGCACTGGGTGACTCAGGGGCCGCGGAGCCTGGGGCGGGCGCCTCTGGATGTGCAGAAGGTCTCAGAGGCGTGGATAGGAAGATAGAAGCGGTGGAGGTCATGGCTGCTGCGCTAGAAGGAGCTGGGGACTCTGGGGTACCACCTGGGGTGACAGGCCGACTGGGAGCTGGGATGTAGAGGGAGCTGGTGGCCGTAACCGCGCCTGAGGAACGTGAGGTGCTGGGGGAATGCAAAGCTGGCAAGTGGCTGGGAGCCCCTGAGGTGAAGCTAGGCTGAGGGCTGGGCCCTTGCGAAGAGGACAAAAACGGGGGTGGGGCGGGACTCGGGCCTCCCAGGCTTTCATTCGCCCTCTTGGGGGCTAGAGGCCGGAAAATAACCGAGGTGGTACCAGGGCGCTGCCCTTGTAAGCCGGGGGTAAAGGGCCTGGCCGACCGGTTAAAGATGCTTGGAGCTGGGTTGGAAGCTCCACCACTAGGGAGGAAGGGGCTGGGGCTGGCCACGGGGGCCAGCAAAGGACTGGATGAGAGCCCAGCCGCCTCCGGCGGAGCACTCTGGGCCCGAGGGGGTGACTGCAGGCCCCGCCCATTGAGCGTGGCTGCTGGGCCAACTGGAGCCTGCTCCTGGG